TGCTATGATTATTCTCTCAGTTTTATTCTTTCTTTTGTTGGTATATGCAGGTTTAGTGAAGTTATCCTCAAGTTTGGTTCTATCGGATAAGTGTTCAGGGATTATTACCGATCTTTGGTGCAATTGTTTTGGCTAAGACTTTCTTTTGGGTTGTCTTTTTACCGAGTACCTGGTAAGTTATTATTGTTTTATTTTGTTACTTACTAAGTTTGTTCATTTTGCTCTCAGCTTCATATTTATATTTGTTAAGTTTTTGTTTGGTGTTAGGTTAGTTGTTGTGTGTTGTTAGTCTGTTATTTTTATTGTCATTGTGTTGTTGCTTTCATAATGAGGCCAAGCAATATTAGTGAAGCATTTTTAGGCATTAATAATACAAATGTTGGCATAAAGAAAAAAATGAGGGCTGATAGTATTGAAAAATGGAAATTAAAGAAACTAAAGAGAATGCCAAATTATGTCGAGTTATCGTCAAATATACATCATACTGGACAATCCTCGCGTCATATAAATTATATCTCTATGAGCCAAACACCTGGTTCTTTTGTTCCTGGTGCAACTTTTGAGTCTACCTTACCGTCAAATGTACATCATACTGGACAATTCTCGCGCCATATAAATTATATGTCTACGAGCCAAATACCTGGTTCATTTGTTCCTGCTGCAACTTCTGAGTCTACCATACTCGAGAGATCTCATAATAGTGGTATTGTTGAATCATCATTTTGTGTGTCAAAAGAGTCAACTGCTTCAGCGACTACTTTGTCAGCTCCAAAGCCTTATTCCCAAAACCGCCAATGCATGAATTTAGTAGATGACAGTAGTAATGGTAGAAGAAAAAGAAGTAGAAGTCAAACAGGTGAGAATTTGATCATTTTAATATTAAATATATTTTTTATTAATTATTAATGTATATATTAAAAGATTAATAAAATTCCGCAATAACATCAGAAGTATATAACAGGTCAAAACGCTATGGATGGTCGTGTTATATTAGAACAAGTTCCAACAGAGTCTACTGTTTTGCCTAGACCGCCTGATTGTGTATATTGTGGTGCTAAGAAAATTTTTCATGAAACTTCATATATGTGCTGCATGAATGGTAGTATTGAATTAAGCAATAATCCTCCGCCATCTTTGCTGAGAGATTTGTTTGATTCAAATTCTGAAGAAGCTATTTTATTTAGGAATTGTATTAGAACAATTAACAATCATTTTGCATTTACATCAATGGGTGTAAAATGTGACAAGGATTTGGAGAAGCGTAACAAAGGTATTTATACCTTTAAGATACAAGGTCAACTATATCATTATATTAACGACTTAGAGAATTCTCAGAACTTGCAGCTATATTTTCATGACACTGATGAGCAGGTCATAAAACGCTTGCAAGCATGTCCTAGATTAACAGAGGCATTAATTAAAAAAATAATAATAATGCTTCAGGAGAACCCTTATGCACAGTTCTTAAAAAGTTTGCGTGAAATGAGCAATTTGCATGAATATTTTATAGTTTTGAGATCTCTACCTAATGTAGATCAAAAAGTATTCAATAAACCTGATGTATCACAAGTAGCTGCATTGTGGATTGAGGGTGTTGAAAATGGAGAAATAAATAAAAGGGATATAAGAGTATTTACTCGTGGTGGGGAGACGCGCAATATAGAATATTATTATGGCTGTTATGATCCTCTTCAGTATCCAATTTTGTTCCCATTCGGTGAAGTGGGTTGGCATGAGGGTATTCCTAAAAAAAACCAAAGTCAAGCCTCTGGCAGTCAAATGAGACAGGAAAATGTAGGAATTTCTATATCGCCTAATATGGCACATGATGTAGAAGAACTGTTAGATATGGAATGCTCAGGTAAATAATAACTAATAGAGTAATTAATTCATTTTCAAATTAGAATATATAATCTTTGTTTAGTTATTGACTATTATATGTTTTGTTGCAGCTGCATTACTTGGGAAAAAAGGTGGGAATTTTGTTTCTGTTAGGGAATATTATGCATATAAATTTCAAATGAGGGAAAACATAGAATCAATTTTGCTCAGATCAGGTCGATTGTTTCAGCAATATATAGTAGATATGTATGTCAAACTTGAATCACAAAGATTAGATTTTCATAGAATGCAACAAGAAGAAATTAGGCAAGAATATTTACAAGGAATCCAAGATGCACTAACATCTGGTGAAACTGAAGGATCAAAAATAGGTCAAAGAATTTTCTTGCCTGCAAGTTTTATTGGAGGACCTAGGAGTATGAGAAAAAGATATATAGATGCAATGACATTAGTGCAAAAATTTGGCAAACCAGATATTTTTTTGACGATCACTTGCAATCCAAATTGGCCCGAGATAAAAGAATTTTTAACTCCAAACGAAGAGGCACAAAATAGGCCAGATTTAATTGCAAGGGTGTTTAGCGCTAAACTTCAAGTGTTGAAAAATGATTTGTTTAAGAAGCATATATTTGGTAAAGTAGCTGCGTATACTTATGTTATTGAATTTCAGAAAAGAGGCTTACCACATGCGCATTTTTTATTAATATTAGAGCCTCAATTTAAATTATTTAGGCCAGAAGAGTACGATAAAATAGTATGTGCAGAGATACCTGATAAAACCAGGAGCCCACATTTATATAGAGTAGTAAGAAAACATATGATACATGGCCCTTGTGGTGATTATAATCCTTCGAGTCCATGTATGAAAAAAAATGGTGTGTGTAAATATTCATATCCTAAGCCATTTTGTGACCGCACTACACAGATAAATGA